TTAATATTTGCTGAAGGTACATTGCCTGGGTTCAGGTAGCCAAATGATGTACCAAGGGTTATGGGAAAATACCATGAAAGCACAAGGGGTTTCTGGGAAGGGAAAGGGAAGAACTTGCTTCACTGAGAAGGTGATGTCTGAGCTGGGCCGTGTCGATTCAGTAGGGGTTCCTCTTGTTAAGAAAGTGGGGAAGTGGAACTATGTGAGGTCAGGGATGTGATAACTGACCTTACTGTAGTGATCATTTTGCAATGTATACATGTATAAAAGAAAAGAAGAGAAAAAGACAGCAGGGCAGAGCACGCATGACCAGTGCTTTCTGGCCTTTTGGGGGTCTCGGTGGCTTTGTGTGGCTGGAGTGCTGAGTTGATGCAGGGAGCGAGGGAGACACAGAGGGACGGGGGAGGCCTCGCAGGCCTGGCCAAGCCATTTTTGCTTTATCCTGTGGGCAACGGGAGCAGCACAAACTCACTGGTGTTGTATATGGCTGTGCTGGAGCTTAGGTAGAGGGTGGACAGCGCTGTCCTGGAGCCGTCAATATGTACTGAAGGTTCCTGAGAGAACTGGTGCTGGACCAAAAGGCACTTTGGTCCAGAAGGACCGCAGCCCCCAGATCCAGCTCAGGCCCTGCCCTCACTGAGCTCCCAGCCTGCTATAATATAGTAACTACGGCGGCATGTGCGCGGCAGTGTGGGGTGCTGCGGCGGGTAGGCGGAGAGCAGTTTCCTCTTCTCTCAGCCTGGGAGGCGGCAGCTAGCAGCCGGCAGTGTTGTGGTTACCGGGGCCTTGGGTTACAACACATGTTTGTTTTTAAAAAACGTTGCAATACCTTTTAAATCAGGGCCCTGGACAGGATCCAAGGACAGTAGCAGGACCAGTCCCTGTGGCGCTTCTTAAAGAAGCAGCTGCAGAGGGAGGGAGTCTTGGGAACCTGGACTGCTGGGAGAGCTGGAGGTCAGGCAGGGCGTGGAAGCCGGGCATGGCTGGAAGGAGACCCAATGCCCGCTTCACCCGGTTGCCCCTCTTCCTCAAGGCGCTTTCGGATCTGGAGCATTGAAGAAGATGCCCCATCTTCCAAGCTGTCTGGGAAAACTAGAAGTAGTGGGTGCAAGTCCTCAGGAATGTGGGGTTCACATTCTTCAGAGAAAAGACCTTCCACATGGTCCAAGATTCAGGGGTCCAGCTTGACAGAGTGAGTGCCCCATTTTGGGAGGTATGCAAGCAGAGGCTAACATTGATTGGTAGGGCCTGTTGGAAAAGGCATGCACGAGTCTGCTGAGGTAGGTGTCCTGAGTAAATGGATGCTCAGATCCATTTTGATTGTGACTGGAAGGGATCTTGGTCCCTTTTCAGAGACAGAAGTTATTCCTCAAAGGAGTTAAGATTGGATTCAAGAGACTTTCATTCTGGTGCACTGTTGATGGGAATGTAAAATGGTGCAGGCACTATGGCAAACGGTATAGAGGTTCCTCAAAGAATTTAAAATATGTAATATGACCCAGCAATCCCATTTCTGGGTATATACCCCAAAGAACTGAAATCGAGGTCTTGAAGAGCTATCCATACACCTGCGTTCAATGCAACATTATTCACAATAGCCAAGATATGGAAACAACCCACAAATCTACTGACAGATAAATGGAGAAAGAAAATGTGGTATATGGGTACAATGGAACATTTTTCAGCTCTTCAAAAAGAAGGAAACTGCCTTTTGTGACAACGTGGGTGAACCTGGAGGACATTATGCTAAGTGAAATAAACCAGTCACAGAAGGACAAGGACCTCATGATCCCACTGATGTCAGGTTATCTAAAACAGTCAGGCTCAGAGAGGCAGAGAATAGAAAGCTGGTTCTAAGATCTGTGGTACTACATAGAACCTACAGTTAATGATACTTTACTGTGCACTCAAACATTTGTTAAGAGGGTGAATTTCATGGTAAGTGTTCTTACCACAAAAGCAAACAAACGGACAAAAACGAAAAACAACGGGGCACAAGGAAATTTTTGGAAGTCATGGGCATGTCTATTAACTTGATTTTGGTGATGATTTCTGGGGTGTAGGTAAATGTTCAAACTCACTGAATTGTACACATTGAAAATGTGCAGTTTTTTGTACATCAATTATACCATCAAGAAAGTGTGTGTGTGTGTGTGTGTGTGTTTAGAAAGAGAAAGAGGAAGGGAGAGGAAGAGAAAGAGAGAGAAACATCTATGTGGAAGTGGGTCATTGACTGGCTACCTCCTGCATGCCCCCTACCGGGGATCAAGCCTACAATCCAGGCATATGAATCCAACCGGCAGCGTTTTGGTGCAAGGGACAACCCCCAACTAACTGAGCCATACTGGCTAGGGCAAGAAAGTTATTTCTATTTTATTTTTCTTAGAGAGAGAGGAAAGGAGAGAGAAAGATAGAAACATCGATAAGAGAGAACATCAACTGGCTGCCTCCAGCATGCCCCCCACTGGGGACTTGGCCCAAAACCTGGGCATGTGCCCTGACCAGGAATTGAAACAGCAACCTGTTGCTGCATGGGTGGACGCTCAACCACTGAGCCAATCGGGCTGGGCAAGAAAGTTATTTTTTTTAAAGATTTTCATTTTGATTCTTAGCTTGTTATTGATTTACATTTGACCCTGGATATTTCATATACATTCATTTCTCTAGCCTTACACCTTCATCCTACCATTTACACAGTGTCTGGCATGGAGCAAGCTCTAGATTTGTTGAATGAATGAATGAATGAATGAATGAATGACATGGATTGGCTGAAGTTGGATTGGGATCAGCAAACTTCAGAGTTTACACACAAGCAATGATATTCACAGTCGTGTGCATATAAGGAATTACATTTTTTCTGAGTAGAGGGCCTATAGCTTTAATTACCATCACCATCACCATAATTTGAGGATTTTATGATAAGCCAAGGTCTTCACACACCTTTTCATGTTTAATCTTCAGGAACCGTGAGGGAGATTGGACTGATTCCCCTCTACTAAGGTGGAAACTCAGGTTGGGGAGTGTAAGGACCTGCTGAGGGTCATATGCTGGATTTGAACCCGAGTCCATCAGACTCCATAACCTGAGCTCATGATAAATTACTACAGCTTCTCAAAGAGATCTGGGACCCAGAAGGTAAACCGAAAACATTCTATGGCCCTAGAGTTCGATTTCTCGGCGGGACTGTGGGGACTGGGGATAAAGGGCCGAGGTGGAGGAGACAGAAAGCTAGCCAGAGCAGGACAGCGCCCACGCCAGCAAGGGCTGCTATTTAGAGCCGCCCCAGAGCCCCTAGAAAAGATGATAAGGGGGCGGGCAGGGAAGAGCAGTTGAAACAGGAGCCCAGGAGGGGGAGGGGGCTATCTCCTCCCCCGCCCCTGCTGCCTCCAGCTCACCCTGTCGCCTGATGTCTAAATAAGGCTTAGAGGCACATTCTAGGCAGCTAAAAATAAACGCCGGCTCCCCCTTCTGCCCGTGGGCTCTGGCGACCTCCCCAGCCCTGTCAGGGCTCCCCAGGCAGGACCAGCTCTCCGGGGCACGCCCTCGGAGCCACGGAATCGGGACCCCGGGGTCGCCAGGGGAGTGCTTTCTACTGTCAGACCTGGACCAGAAGTCAGGTCGCCTGGGTCCTACTCCTAACTTTGCCCTAACGAACCCGAAGAAGCTCATTTTTTTTTTTTTTTCCTGCTTTGAATCCCAGTCTCCCCACATGTAAAATGCGGACGTTAGAATAATGATGTAAAGCTCTGAGGATTTTGAATGAAGTCAGAATCCCACACTCTGGGATCAGACTTCAGAATCTGCCCACTGGGATTCTTTAGGGTACATCTGTCCTGCAGACTTATTTTTAGCTTACGCAGTCTTTTATAATGATCTAAATTAGCTGCCCATCCTTAACGATGTAAAGAATTCACATAAAAGTCTGGATTTCCAACCTCTCGAAAAATCCGATCTGTCCACACCGGCAACTCGAGTCTGAATTGAGTAGCGGACGCCCCCTGCCGGCATAATAAGTGTACTACAGGTGGGGGCCGACACCTTCTCTCCATTTCAGCCCAGGGCTGCAGGCACCCGTGTGCGAACCGAATGAATGAGCCCGCTAATAGAATGCTTTGGAAACTGTGAAGAGCTCCGTGAATAGGATTTTGATGATGGTGCCGCCTAGCTGAAATCTGGTGCCATTGCATGGCTAGCTCCTGTCCTGGAATCCAGGTCCTAAGCCCCAAGCAGGGACAAAATCCTCAAAACCTGGCTCTCAACCCCACCCTGTTGGGAGACATCACACAATTAAGGCTCTCTTAGGCACTGCCGGGGCCTCGGGAGACGTCACTGGGATTGTCCTTGGTTGGAAAAATACTAACAGACACTGACAGGGTCTGTTGAACTCAAATAACTCTTACCAGCCACTTTTTGGAGGCCAGCAGAGCGGGGAGGGCCAGGGAAGGAAGCAGAGGGAGGAGGGGTAAGAAAAGGAGAGCAGAGCTGTTCAAAGAACAGGATTCTGGTATGCCTGCTTGGATTCTAGTGCAGCTCATTGGAGCCAGACTCTTCACAGACTTCAAGATGCTGCAGTTGGCCTGGCCCTCAGAGATCACAGAATCCATCCCATCTCAGCCGTATGGTGTGGGTTGGGAATACATTTTACTCCCCTTTTAGTTCCTTCTGGCTGGTCTAATAATGAAATCTCCAAGAGACAGATTAACAAAAGAAAATAACCAAATGTAATTACATATGTGCAAACGGGGATCCCACATACAGGAGAGGTTCAGAGACAGAAAGATAACTTAAGAAATATATGCCATTCTGAGCTAAGGATAAGGTCAGGCACCTGGATCTTCTGAGGGGAGAAAGGTCATTCACAGGACAATGAGAGCAGCTGTTCAGTAATTAGGTTTTTGTTCTGTCCTATAGACAGGTCATAAAAAGTTATTGATGATGATAGCTCTTATTATGGGCAAGGCCCCTAATTTAAATCCTTTAAAGGAGAGGTAAAGGCTTACGTGAGCCCCCAGGGTTTCACTTGCTTTCAGCTCAAAATAATCCTCATCAAAGTAGCACATCTGGGGGAGGCCTGTTTTGAACCCCTTCAAGGGTGATGGGGTGTAGACATGAGAACCTGGAAACAACTGAGGCTTTGTCCTTCCTGCTGTCTCACCAGACACCTTCCTTGGGAGAAAATAGTGACTCCATATGTATTCCACACCAGCCACTCAGTGGTGGAGGAAGTGGGTCTAGTTCAGACTCTCAGACCTGCATCATTGGCCTCCTTGTGGGGGGCTTGTTATAAGTACAAATTTTTGAGCTCCAGTCCTGCCTGTTGAGTCATTATCTGCACTTTAAAGGGATGTCAGAGGTGTTGTGTATGCATATTACCCTTAGATAAAAGCTGCTTTAGACCAGAGATTCTCAATGTTGGCTGCATCTTGTAATCCCCTGGGGGACTTTTAAAATGCTGATGCCCTGTCCCAGCCAGGGGTGTAACCTGGCCATGCAGTCCTAGGTTATTTGTTTAAAGCTGCCCAGGTGATTCGAATGTGTAGCCAGCACTGAGAATCAAAGCTCTAGGCAAAGGCCATAATGAGATGAAAATCTTTGGGAATCCAAGTGATGCAAACTTGTACAGGGCCCACGCTCTGCTCTCAGACTGAGGCTAGTGGAGGAGGCAGCTCTTGGGGCACCTTCCCCAGCCCTGTTTGTCTTGCCTGACGAGTACAGCCCCTGCTCTCCGGGGCATTTCCAGGCCTCTGGGTGCTCTCGGGTTTCAGAAGAGTAAGGTGAGAAGGGAGTGGTGCTCCTGTTTAGCTCTGCAATCATGCCCTGGGATGTGCCCTGGGCTGGGAGGCCAGAAACCTGGGTCCTCATCCTACCTCTGTTGGGTGGCCTTGAGCTCCAGTTTTTTTGCTCTCTAAAATGGGCTAATAAGAGAGAATTGAAGTTACTTCTAGTGTTCCTTCCAATTTATGCATATACACACACTCTCAAAGTTGAAGGGGGCTTAGGAGAGCCCTGGCTGGGTGCTCAGTGGGTTCAAGAGTCTTCCTGATATGCCAAGGTTGTAGGCTCGATTCTGAGTCAGGGCACATATAAGAAGCAACAAATAAATGCATAAATAAGTGGAACAACAAATCAATGTTCTCTCTCTCTCAAATCAATGAATAAATATTAAACACAAAAACAAACAAACAAAAACCTGAAAAAGAAAGGGACCTCAGAGATCATCTAGTTTGACCTTTTTCTACAAATGGGAAAACTGAGGACCAGAAAGGTTAAAAGTGTTGACTAAAGTCAGAAATGTCATGACCATTTAAAAAAAATGTGGGCCCTGGCCAGTTTGGCTCAGCGGTTAGAGCGTCGGCCTGTGGACTAGAGTCCCGGGTTCGATTCCGGCAGAGGGCAGGCCTCAGTTGGGGTTGTGCGGGTGGCAACCAGTCGATGTGTCTCTCTCACATCGATGTTTCTCTCTCTCTCTCCCTCCCTCTCTGTCTGAAGATAAATGTAAACAAAAAAAAATCATCGGGTGAGGATTAAAAAAGAAAAAGGAAGGAAGGAAGGAAGGGAGGAAGGAAGGGAGGAAGGGAGGGAGGGAGGGAGGGAGGGAGGAAGGAAGGAAGGAAGGAAGGAAGGAAGGAAGGAAGGAAGGAAGGAAGGAAGGAAGGAAAGTGTGGGCTTTGTTAAAGAACAAAATTTAAGTGAGTACATTTGAAGATCTAATTGGCTTTATTAAGCGATTCATGAATATGGCAGCATCCTATCTGGCAATGAGGGGTGCTTCTGAGGGGTTGTACAAAATGGAAGGCTTGCCCTGGCCGGTTTGGCTCAGCAGTTAGAGCATCGGCCTGCGGTCCAGAGAGACCCGGGTTCGGTTCCCGCTCAGGGCATGTACCTCGGTTGCAGTTTGTCCCTGGCCCTGGTTGGGTCGTGTGGGTGGCAACCACTCGATGTGTCCCTTTCACGTAGATGTTTCTCTCTCTCTCTCTCTCTCTCTCTCTCTCTCTCTCTCTCTCCCCCTCCCTCCCTCCCTCCCTCCTTCCGACTCTATCTGAACAAAATATGGAAAAATGTCCTCGGGTGAGGATTAAAAACAAAAACAAAAAACAAAATGGAAGGTTTTCATAGGCAGAAAGAGAGTGGGACTAGGAAGGTAAAAGAGTGGATTATTTCAGGCAACAATACCTTCCTTTTGGAGAGGGCAGGGGGTCTTGTCAGGCAGATCACCTCACTAGTATTGACCAGAGAAGTCCAGATCATTGAAATTCCACTTCTGAGACAGGCTGAAATAGCGATCAGGTTAGTTATTAAGTTGTGGTTTGGTGATGTGGCTTAGCAAAAGTGATTCCATTTGGCCATTGTTTCATTTTTTGGTAACACCTTCAATGGAAAACGATTCCTTTTCTAGAGCATATCCTTCTAGATATCTAGCTCTGATTCTATAATGGGCTCTTGCCTTTCATTGCCTCTGAAGTTGCAGATAATTCATAAGAATGGAAAATAATCTTTGCCTTTACACATGTAAATTTTTGTCCTGTGGAGGTTAGATTGACTTCTCTTCCCTATTATGGAAAAGACCAATCTTGCCTTTGTTTGCACATTTATCTCAGTATTCCTGAGCTATAAATAAATGTGTTGGTTCTTTGAATTCTTCTTTGCACAGTTTGTAACATCTCACAGGTTTCCTCTCAGAAGGAGTTAAATTAAATCTCTAAGGCATGTTCGTTTTATATCTATGAGAGTTATGATTTTGCCTTCTGATAAAGAGAAAGCCACAGACCCAAAATGGCATCACTTGTGCTAAAGCCCATGATACTAAACCTAGATTTAGTATCTGACCTAATTGTTGTTTCAACCTTTTCTAGAAATATAATCTTAAAATTCCTGTCTGGAATTTTCTGGTCAAGAACCAGTAAAGTAATCTGTCACCTGGGCCCTCTCCATCCCCCGCAGAAAGAAGAGGCAATCTGCCTGATAAGAACCCTGGCCATTCCCTTCCCCCCAAAAGAAGACGTCTGGGTCTAAAAAATAATCCTTTACCTTTGTTAATGCCCCCCTTGCCCCATCCCTTTTCCTATAAAAACCTATCATTCTGTACTACTCCACAGACAGCCCTTCTAGTTTTTAGACGGGATGCTGTCCAATTCATGAATAGCTTAATAAAGTCATTAGATCTTTAAATTTAATCAGTTGAATTATTTTTTATTTTATTTATCCTCACCCAAGGACATTTTTGCATTTATCTTCAGATAGAGTGGAGGGAGAGAGGGACGGAGAGAGAGAAACATTGATGTGAGAGAGACACATCGACTGGTTGCCATCCGCACGACCCCAACCCGGGCCGAGGACAACTGCAGCTGAGGTACATGCCCTTAGTGGGAACTGAACCCGGGTCTCTCCAGTCCGTAGTCTGATGCTCTAACTGCTGCGCCAAACCAGCCAGGGCTACTCAGTTGAATTTTGTTTTTAACACTTCCTTTTGAAAACTACTTTATAATAAAAAGAATAACCAAGATTTAAGAGTCTTATGCTCTATGAAGTGAGCTAGCTGGGCAGAATAGCCAAGATTTAAAACCAGATGTCTAGACTATATTTGGGGTGAAACCCCACAGAGACCAGTCAGTAACCAAGTGTTCCTATGTCTACACCATCAGCTTTGAAGGGGTTTAGAAGAGGCCCCCCCAAGATGTAACACTTCGGCATGTGGATTACTGTGAGCTGAAGGCAGTCAAGACCCTGAGGGCTCATGGGAAACTTTCACCTCTCCTTAGAGAATTTAAATTGGAGGCCTTGTCCAAAATAAGAGTTATCACCAGAAATAACTTTTTATGATCTATCTATAGGACAGGGCAAACACCTAATTACTGAACATCTGCTCTTCTTATCCTGTGAATGACACCCCCCCCCCCCCCAGAAGATCTAGGTGCCTGACCTTATCCTTAGCTTGGAATGTCATATTGTCCTCATATTTCTTTTCTGTCTCTGAACCTCTCATGTATGTGGGGTCTCAGACTCTCTCATGTATGTGGGATCCCATACATAAGTATGTAGTTAAATTCATTAATTTTTTCCCATCTGTTTCATGTCTATTAGATTACTAGACCAGCCAAAAGAACTTAGAAAGTAGAGATAAGTTTCTTCCTCCCCCACAGTTATTTGTCAGTGACCGCTGCTTCTGACACACATGCCCAATTCGATTCATATGCATTTGAGGTGGTAATCACTCCTCATTACATTCAGGGCACTCACCACACCAGCCTTTGACACATGCCGTGTCCCCAACAATACTCACCCCACCACACACAAGCATGGCTGCTAGGTAATCCTGGACCATGTCATTCCAGGGCCCAAACCCAGTTAGTCCTTCAGGAAACACATGATGATGAACATTACAGCGACAACAATTTCCATACTTCCAACCCATCACTCCTAGAACGTGGATTCTTCAAGGACAAGGGCCTTGTTATAGTAATGGTGATTTGTATGTATGTGTGCACCTATTGTATGCCAGGGGATGTCAACCTTGACTGCATGTTTTAATCACCTGGGATTAAAAAACAAAACAAAAAAACCCCAATGCTTGTGTCCCACTTCCAGAGATTTAGATGTAATTGGTCTGGAGGGTGATCTGGGCATCAGGATTTTTAAAAGCTCTCCAGTGTGCAACCCTGGCTGGGAATCATGGCTCAATGGGCTTGACTATGTTTAAATTTCACATTGGCTCTTACCCCAAATGTTTCTCATTTATTCTTTCAAGGATGGTCAAAATCCACCTTCTCAGAGAGTTCTTTTTTTTTTTTTTGGTACGTGCCCCTAGTGGGAACCGAACCCGGGACTCTCTGGCTAACGCTCCAACCTGGCTCCAAACTGGCCAGGGCTCAGAGAGTTCTTATTAGACTCAAGAAGGCAACCCACTGTACTTTGAATTAGTGTAACCTGATTTCTAGTCTTCTGGTATTATTACTCTTGGATAACATCTTATTTATTTTTTGTTGATGTGGGGGTGGGGACAGAGTCTTTATCTTGTTCAGCTGTTGGCTCTGTAAGTATTTGTTGAATGAGTGAACAGCTTAGTACTGAAATTTATTATTATTATTATTTTAATGCTTATTTTGCAAATGAGGAAACTGAGGCCAGAGAGGTTAAAGCCCTTGGCTAGGATCTCACAGGATGCAAGCCTGGGTCTGGCTGGCTTGGAGCACTCTGAACAAGCCCCTGTTCCGCCCTCCCTTCCATTGTGGTTATGGCGTTGGTTTTTAGTCACTGTCTGTGGCCTTCCAGAATCTCCTCCAAAGTCCTTCAGATGGGGATGTCAGATACTCTAATCTCCAAGGAATGTGCACACTCATTGAAAGGTCCTCTAAGGTAGCTTGGGCAGTAGAAGAAGCGTTAACCTTTTACTGCTCAAGATCATTGACTTCTTGTGTGAAGGAGTGTGTCTGAGGCTGACAGAATGGAGTGTTGTTTTTTTTTCTTTATTGATTTTTTAATTTATTATTATTTTTATTTATCCTCATCCAAGGACATTTTTCCATTTTTTGTTCAGATAGAGTGGGAGGAAGAGAGAGGAAGGGAGAGAGAAACATCGATGTGAAAGGGACACATCGAATGGCTGCCACCCCCATGACCAACCAGGGCCAGGGACAAATTGCAGCCAAGGTATGCGCCCTGATTGGGAACAGAACCCGGGTCTCTCTGGACCGCAGGCCGATGCTCTAACTGCAGAGTCAAACCAGCCAGGGCTTTATTGATTTTTTAGAGAGAGAGGAAGAGAGAGGGAGAAAGAGACAGAAACATCAATGAGAGAGAACATTCATTGGCTGCTTCCTATATACCCCCCACTGGGAATCGGGCCCACAACCTGGTCATGTGCCCTGAACTGGAATTGAACCAGCGACCTATTGGTGCATGAGTCGCCGTTCAACCACCGAGCCACACTGGCCGGGCCAGAATGGAGTACTATTTAGGAGTCAGGAGGAAATGGGTAACGGGGTGGAGGGGTCTTGGTAGGTGCAAAGATGGAGAAGGAATGATGATGGAAGGGAGGCATCCTATTTCCCAATCAGGCCCCAATTATACCAGTGTTGGCATCCAGTTTCCCCACCCACCACCCACACATCTACCAAGGAGCACAGCCACATGGACATCTGTCATACTACTGTGGGACCAGCCTCCGGAAGAGTTCTAGTTTCACTTCTGCTGTGTGCCGTGGGCAAGTCCTCTTCTTCGAGAGGCCTGTAATTGCACTTGTGTGTAACAAAGAGGTTGTGCTATAGACGAGAGAGGGAAACACTTATCAGATTGGGAGGAAGATGTACAATTTACAAAGCATGTTAAAAGATCAGGTAAAGTCTGTACTTAGTTGATAATAATATACTAATGCTGTTTTCTTATTGTTAACAATGGGGGAAACAGCTAGATCTGTACTATTTTTGTAACTTTTCTGTAAATCTAAAATTAATTCAAAAAATAAAATAAAAAAAAAGTTTAAAAAGCTCTGCCAGCGTGGCTTAGTGTTTGAGCATCAACCCATGCACCAGGAGGCCGCCAGTTGGATTCCCGGTCAGGGCACATGCCCAGGTTGTGGGCCAAGTCCCCAGTGGGGGACATACAGGAGGTGGCCAACCTATGTTCTCTCTCTCTCTCTCCTTTTCTTTCACTCTAAAATCAATAAAGAAAAAAATGTTAAAAAAGATGATTAGGTAAGTTTTAAATTTTATTCATAATTCATTTATTCAACAAAGATTGATGGTCTGTTACGTGTCAGGCACTGGGTACACATCAGTAACTAAAAGTTACAATCTAGTTAATATCCCTATTGCTTCTTTAAAAAGCAAACCTCAACTACAGAATATGGTAGCTGAACAAAATCTTGTCTGATGGAAAACAAATGCCCTTCCTGACAGTTGACCGTCACAGCGTGAGGTCTGAGCTACAGCCCCGCCCCCCGCCTCGCCCCGCCCCCGCGCCTCGGCCCCGCCCGCCCCCGCGCCTCGGCCCCGCCCCTCCTCGCACTCCGTTCGGCCCTTCCTTCCCGGCCTCCCCCTCGGGCTCTCAGCTCCGCCCAGTCCCTGCGCTCAGTCCCGCCCTCAGTCCCGCCCCTTCCCTCCTCGGGCTCTGTCTTCGACCCTCAGAACGTGGGGGCTGGACGCCCACGCCGACGAAAGGGGCTCAAGGAGGAACCTCGGAGGTGCTGAGTAGGGAAAGAACTGTTTCCAGTAAGGCCTTAAAACCCCAGATCCCCACGGGTTGGGGCGAATCTGGAAGTGGCCGCGCTTAGCTTTGCATAACAATACTCAGCTTTGCATAACCAACGCGGACTGGCATTTAAAGGCGTTGCTGCCGGAGCCCAGACCTTGTCGTTATCTTCGCGCAGACCCACCTTTTGCAATGAAGCCCCTGATGCGGGCTCCGCTCCTGATCGCCCTGGGCGTGCTTCTCGCTGCCCCTGAGGCCCTTGCGAAGGTCTTACTGAAGAAGGTGAGTGCCGCTCCTTTAGGAGGCTGTTTCCACATCCCGGCCCAGCGGGTTGGGATGGGATATGGGGGTAACTATTCTCGTCTGTAGAATTCCTTCTCTGCAGCAGCGCTTCCCAAAGTCACTAACTGGGGGACTTTTCTTTCTAAAAGTTTGCTTTCCCATGTGGGAGAAGCAGCAGTTTTCCTCTGCTCTTCTAGATTCTGTCTGCTGGTGTAATAATCAAATAGACGTGAGACAGATTAACAAGAGCAAATAACCAAATTCAATTACACACTTATGTATGTAGGAAACACTCCAAAGTGGCACATCTCCGGGAGGCCTGTTCTGAATCCCTTCACCCACTAGTACAGTGAGGGTGATCTCTAAGGCCTTGCTTAGCTTCAGGTTTCATAAGGTTTACCCTCACTCACTCAGGTACTCTTCTGTCCTCTTTCCAACTGTTTGAGTGGCATTTTGCAGAACTGGAAGACTAAGGCACTGCTCTCTGACCCAGAGACTCAGCCCTGTTTACCTGCCCACCCCTCGCTCTTGAAAAGATCTGGCGCCCTTCCCTTCTGCTCTGTACTGCTATGGCTGGGCTTGTTCTGATCCGTGGGTGGGTTTAGAGACCCTCCAAGCCAGAAGGGCCAGACTTGTTCCTCTGGTGACAATGATCCAACCCTGCTCCTGGTTGTGAGCCATGGAGAGGCGAGCTTGCTGTCTCACTTCTCACTCCCAAGCTCCAGACCCATGGGAAAGGGAAGTTCTGTCATTCTGAGACCTAGAGAAGCCTAGTTTCATGGCCTCTTTGCTGCATAGCTGCAGGCAAGACACATGCTATCTCTGGCAGCAAAGAGAGGGGCCAGCCTAGGTTCCCCCCTCCTTTCAGCCACCTTGGAAATATTTGTCTGAGAGCGAGAAACAGCGTGGTGTAGGGGTGTGGGATAGGACCCAGAGCTGGAGGCTTGGCTTCTGATCCCCTCTCTCTCTCTCTAATCCATAGACATGGCCTTTGAGCTCCTTGAACCTTAGTCTTTTCATCTGTCAAATGGGTATGATGCCAACCTGCCTTTCTTGTGGATTGTGGGAGAAGAAAATGCTTTAAAACAGCAATTTTCAATTTTCAATATTTTTCATCTCATGGCACACACAAACTAATTACTAAAATTCTGCGGCACACCAAAAAATATATTCTTTGCCAATCTGACAAAAAAAAGGTATAATTTTGATTCAGTCACACCAGATGGCTATTATCGTATTTGGCTGTTGTCATTTTTTTATTTGACCATCTAAGACAGTGGTTCTCAACCTTCCTAATGCCGCTACCCTTTAATACAGTTCCTCATGTTGTGGTGACTCCCCAACCATAAAATTACTTTTGTTGCTACTTCATAACTGTAATTTTGCTACTGTTATGAATCGCCATCCGAAATATGTGTTTTCCGATGGTCTTAGGCAACCCCGGTGAAAGGGTCGTTCTACCCCCAAAGGGGTCGTGACCCCCAGGTTGAGCACTGCTGATCTAAGGGAAAAGAGGTCAGTGCCCTTGACTGAATAGTCAGGTATTGCATGTGTTAAAAATTCTTATGGTACACCAGCATGCCTCTTGTGGCTCACTGGTTGAAAATGGCTGCTTTCACATCTTAAACAAAGTGATATAAACTGTTGGTCTCAGCTTCACCCTGCCGCAGGGGCAAGGAGTCTGTTTTTGCCTGTTGAATGAAGGAGCTAGGATCTTGGGGCTTATTCTTCTAGAGGATTCACAGTTTGTCCTGGAGTGTAGGTTGATAATGTTTCTCTTGGCTCCAGGTCTGACCGCTATGGGGTGGAGTTTGGCTAAGGCTCCAGCTTGCCCTATGTCCCCATTCTATATGTCTTGGCTATTCCGGACCATTCCAGAGGGTCTTAGATCGGCAGTTTTGCAGAGGCCTTGAGACATCATTGAGTTCACCCACCTCACCCAGGCCCATAGAGAAGGATAGGGGACTCCCCAAGATTACACAGCAAGTGGCACTTTCTTTCTTTTTTTAAAATATGTTTTTATTGATTCTTAAGAGATAAAAGAAGGGATAAAGAGAGAGAAACATCGATGTGTGAGAGAAACATCAATCAGCTGCCTCCTGTACGCCTCCCCCACCCCACTGGGCATGGGCCCTGACTAGGAATCGAACCAGGACCTCTCAGTCCATGGGATGATGCTCAGTCCACTGAGCCACGAATCCACTGAGTCACACTGGCCAGGGGCAAGTGGCACTTTTGATCCTTATCTGCCATCATCCAGGACTACTCCGGGCTCATGTGACTCAAAGCCCTGACTCTGAGATCACAAGCCGGATGAAGGCTGTGGGGTAGGGGTCAGTGTTTGAGCATCCAGAATGTTAAGCCACGTGCTTTTTTTCCCCTAATAAACTGTTTTTGGGGAAATAATTTTAGATTTACAGAGAAGTTTGCATAGATAGAACAGAGATCCCACATACCCCTCACTCGGTTTCCCCTAATGTTAATATCTTATGTACCATGGTGCACTTGTCAAAACCGAGAAGCCAACATGGCTACATTACCATAACGAAACACTAGGCTTTTTATTTGGATTTTACCAGTTTTTCCATGAATGGCCTCTTTGTGTTTCAGGATTCAGTTCAGTCACCACATTGCATTTGTTGTCATGTCTCCCTGGTCCCCTCTGGTCTGTGATTCTTCTTCAGTCTAGTGTTTTCATGGGCTTGACAGTTTTGAAGGGTCATGACCTATACTTTCTGTATAAAAATGTCTCTCTCTCCCAGTAGCCCTCTTGAGAAGATATAATGATGCCCATTTGATAGGGGAGGAAATTGAACCCCAAGAGGGGTTTACTTAGCCATGGTCTCAGCTAGTGAGAGTGGCTGAGGGTTGATTTGAACCCAAGTCTGATTTGTACCCACATTTCTGCCTCCAGAGCTGTGGCTTCCCCTTTGTCCTATGTTGCCCCGTGTTGCCTCTTCCCGCATGTTGGGATGGCAAATACCTGATGCCAGGCCTGGCCCTTGGTGGGCATTCCTAGTCCATCATACCTCCTTTTTCTGCTGGACTCCACAGCAGAATTCACTTCCACAGAAGCCTCTAGCCAGGCATCTGGAAATCACCTTGTTAGTCTCCCCAAAGGCCTGGGGCAAGGGGTTACTTGAAGAGGGGAAGGATTCTTTAGCTCCAACAGGGCACTCTGGGATCTTTTCATGTGTGTTCTATTCCTTCCCTGCGTTCATTTCCCACCCCTTGAGGGTGGGGTTTTGGATGTTATGTTTCTCACTGTGTTTTGTGTTTCCTATTGTCCCTGACTCTGGATTGGGGTGGGGGTGGGGTGTGTGGTGGGAAGAAGGCCCTGGGCATAGGCTGCAGAGGGAAATCCTTCCCTCTAAGGAGGTCCCAAGACTGGCTGGAGAGGAGTGGGGAGCAGGGAGGTGGGAGATCAGAGAAGGTCCCTACCAGAGGCGGATATGGTTAGTCTCCTGTTCTGAGCGTTTGAACATCCCAAACACTGAGTTCCAGTTCCTCCTCTAGCATTAACCAGTTCAAGGTCTGGATACTGTGCTTTATAGTTGAGCACACTTCGGGGAGATTATGTCTTAGGAGTCTTTACTGCAGTCCTGTCTATGAAATGGGGAGGACAAGTGTTATCCCAGGTTTACAGACACACATTAGGCTCGGAGAGGGAGCCACCTCACCCAAGGTCACACATCAGTAGCTTGTTCTGTTGATTCTTCTGACCTGTGAGAGTTCCTTTTGTCAACTTCTTTTCTCTTGTTTTCTTGCTCCCGTGATTGTCCCTAGGCCTTCCGGGTCAGTAGCTTTTCTTGGGAGAACTGTGACAAGGGGAAGGACCCTGTGCTCATCAAAAGCCTGAATGTGGAACCTAACCCCATTGTAAATCCTGGGAATGTGACCGTGAGTGCCGAGACCCAGACGAGTGTCGCCCTCAATGCTCCTCTGAAGGTGAGCCTGGGGGTGGGTGGGATCGATCAGGAGCCGGAGGGAAGGTGCCATGGGCCAGCGGACAGGGGACCTGTGGGACACACGCTCAGGGAACTAACACTGGAGCCCTGGCATCCAGAGCAGCGAAGGAGGCACGGGTTTGTAGGCTTGCACTCAGGTTCACAGACTCTCAGCATTGTGATGTCTGAGCCTGGAAGGAATCTCATGTCAGCCCCAACACCTTCTTACTGAGGGCACGAACGAACAATTTCCTCACACCTGCAGGGAGTGCTCCAGCCTCCCAGACAGGATGGCACAGGGCGCACTGTTGTCCGACAGCTCTGGTTGGGCAATTTGGTTTTGGTAGTGGTGTTGTTATTAATTATAAAACAGACACATCAATTAGCAAGTGATATGTAGTCAACTTTAGAAAACACAGATGGTCAAAATGGGGGGAAAAAGAAATCACCTGGACTCTCTCTACCTCATAAGAGGTAAGCACTTTTAACATTTTGAAACTTTCCCCCATACAATCACATATAACATACGTATTCATTGTTAGCTATTTATATATCCTGTCAGGATTTTTTTCTGCATTTGTAAATATATATACATTTATCCTAGTGGGATTATATGATGTGTGCTATTACACTTACTTTTTTTTGCATCATATATTTTCCATAGCTCTTTCTGTGGCATTTGGCATAGATCTACCTAATCTTTTTTGTTGTTGTTGTTAATCCTCACCCAAGGCTATTTTTCCATTGAGTTTTAGATAGAATGGAAGGGAGGGAGAGAGAGAGAGAAACATTATGTGAGAGAGACACATTGATTGGTTTCTTCCCACACGATCCTGACCAGGGCCAGGGATCAAACCTGCAACCCTTCGGTCCCAGGGCCAACGCTGTAACTGCTGAGCCAAACTGGCCAGGGCACTACCTAATCATTTTTAATGGCAGAAATATTTTCTTGTAATTTACTTAACAAATCTAATGTCGGATATTTAGTTTGTTTCCAGGGTAGTGTTTTTTTCTCGCTATTATAAAGACCTTTGCAGAAATGATTCTTGAAATTAATATTTTTCTACTTTTCTCATCATCCAGATACAGACTTTTAGGTCTTCTAATACTTGGTACCAAAGTGTCTTTAAGTATTTGAACCCGTTTGTCCTCCATCCAGCAACAACAGATTTGGCTTTTTCCCCACATTGTTGACATTCAGCATTTTGTAAAAATTCTTTCCAGCCTTGTATGTCATTCCTCATGAAGTTAAAGTTCCTTTCATAAGTTTATTTGCCTTTTGTAGTTACTTTGGGAAAGTATAGGAAGCAATGCTACAGTTAGCCAGTTAGCAGTTAGGTGACAAATACATTTCAACTCAAGTGTTAGCTTCAGCCAGTGGGTGGTGATTACCTAAAGAATTCTAAGATTGTGATTCAGTGAAGGGGGTAAAAATCACATTTGATTATTCATGTCTGTCATGGGCATAGGAAAGGATAATATCTCCAAGATCCCAACCAATTAAAAACTATGTGAATGAAATGAAATGCTGACCTTTTAAAGAGGTAGAAGATCTGCCTGGCTGGTGTGGCTCAGTGGTCGAAAACACCAAGAAGTCGCTGGTTCGATTCCCGGTCAGGGCACATGCCCAGATTGTGGGCCCGATCCCCAGTGGGGGGCAAGCAGGAGTCAGCCAATCGATGTTCTCTCTCATGGATGTTTCTGTCTTTCTCTCCCTTTCCCTCTCCCTTCCTCTCTTTCTAAAGTCAATAAAGAAAAGAAAAAAAAAGAGGTAGAGGATCTAGTATGTTTGCCTTGAAATTGACACTTTCAAACTCTTTGCACCAGGTGGAATTAACTGTGCAGAAGGAAATGGCTGGCTTCTGGGTCAAAGTCCCGTGTGTGGAGCAAGTTGGTAGCTGTACCTATGAAGACATCTGTAACACAGTTGACAGTTTTTTCCCCCCTGGAGAGCCCTGCCCAGAGCCCCTGCACACCTATGGGCTTCCCTGCCACTGTCCCTTCAAAGAAGTAAGTACACATGGAGGGAGAGCATTATCCCAATGGCTGGAGTAAACACCTGGGGTTTAGAGAGAAGGATCCTTGTGTTCCCCTGCAGATCTGGATGTCTGGGTGGATGTAAATTGGTGTGATCTATCTGGAATCCCTTATCTCTGGGGAACCTCAGTTTATCCATCTGTGCAATGGGAGGTTTGAACTTTGGTGTGACCTGCAGTGCTCCACAGTGCTATGGCAATCTCTAGTCTCCTGTGGCTCTTAGGGGAATGGGAGGGGCGATAGTTCATGATTGCAGTCCTAGAGGTGGCTCCAGGAGAGAGTCCCATTGGTAAGTTTCCACTGACCCGTGATCCACTGGCTTTTTCACAGGGCAAATACTCACTGCCCAAGAGTGTTTTCAGCCTACCCCACCTGGACCTGCCCAGCTGGCTCAGTACTGGAAACTACCGCGTCCAGAACATCCTAAGCAGCGGCGAGAAACGTCTGGGCTGTTTCAAGCTCAATGTCTCTCTACAGACCATTAACGTGGCACCAGCTGCAGCAGAATGAAGGGGTGTGAGGAAGGGTCCCTCTTCCTCTGTGTTGCATTTGTCAAAGCCAAATTCTGATTTTCTGTCCCTCTTCAAGCTCCTTTCCACAGTGATGCTACTACCCTCGCTGGAGATCAGTTTGTGGCACTTACATTTTGGGCATGGGCAAACAGCCCTAACGTCAGGTAGGGGGAGCCTGGTGGCTCAGGACATCTACCAGGCTGGCCACTCCACTTTCCTCCTCACCCCTTCAGCTTTCTAAGAGCTTAACTTATTTTCCAAACAGTCAGGGAATTGGATGAACATGTTTTGTGACCCCAAGTTCAGACTGACCCAGTATTGCTCTCCCGAAGTACCTTGAATGATTTTCTCATTAAAATTGTTTTGTCCCTAACTTAAAAGCAGACTGAGAGTATTAATACTTTTCATGTTACTCCAACCCCCTCGTACATGAAGGCCCTGAAGTAGTAGGGCTCAGTCTGTTTCTCCATTAACATCTATGATTGGTTTGAGTAGTCTTTTCTAGATTTGCCCAATTAACAGTGGGGCACAGTATACCCTGGAGAAGCAGGGTGTGGGGTGGGGACTTCCTTGGGAGAGATTTAATCATCCTGTGTCTTTAAAACAGTTTACAACCTCAGGTGCCTGCAGGGCCGAGCAAGAGAGACAAATGAGTGACAAGGACCACAAGGAACACAGTGTCTTCCCTTTTTCCTTTTTTAAAAAAATCCTCACCCAAGGATATTTTTCCATTGATTTTTTAGATAGAGAGGAAGGGAGGGAGAGAGAGAGAAAAACATTGATGTGAGAGAGACACATCAATTGGTTGCCTCCCGTACAACCCCCACGGGGGCCTGGAATTGAACCTGCAACCCAGGTATGTACCCTTGACTGGAATTGAACCTGCGACTCTCTGGTCCACAGGCTGGTGCTCTAACCGCTGAACCAAATTGACCAGGGCCCTTTTTCCTTTTCATAACCACACACATGCATTGATGTGAGGCAGCTGATGCCCAGTCTCAGGCTGAGCATGTAGTCAGGGAGTTGGAAAGGACACATGCTGTCTGCAGGGGCCCCTGCTGTCTAGATATAGCCAGTTAGTGCCCATGAGGATACTGTGGACTCAGTCTGCCAAATATACTCAGTTTTTTTCCTTAGAGAAGCCAGAAATTCAGACTTTTATATGAAATCTCATAATGTTTAAATATTGGCAAGTAATTATTTTTTTAAAAAACACTGTGCAGGGGCCAAAGGGCCCAAGCAGATTTGTCGGCGGGGAAATTTGGCTCAGGGTGACCAATTTGTGACCTCTGATGGAAAACATGCATGCTTTGTCCTTTTAGTCTTGAGACAATTCCTCCGGCCCCAGCTTTTCCTCCATAGGACCAGGTCCGTAGTGTCTGACCCAGGGCTCGGGGAAGGAGAGGCAGCCTCTCAGAGCTGGGAGCCTGTCGGGGTGAATGTGGCAGATAGATGCCCAAGAGGTGGACTCACCAACAGCTGCTCTGGAGCAGGGATCCAACAAAGAGAGGTAGACCCATGTCAGGTGCCTGGGTTTGTCCATCGTCCAGTTCTATGTGACAACTTGCTGACCCACAGACCAGCCCTGAATTCTGGGCTCATGTGAAGCTGGAATTGGCAATATTGTCATGCATTGCTTAACGACGAGGATTGGTTCTGAGAAATGTGTCATTAGGCGATTTCATCATTGTGCAAGCATCATGGAGTGCACTTACACAACCCTGGATGGTATAGCCTCCTGCATAGCTAGGCTATATAGAATAGCCTATTGCTCCTGAGCCACAAGCCTGTACAGCATGTTACTGGGCTGAATACTGCAGGCAGTTATAATACAATGGCACGTATTTGAGTATCTAAACATAGAAAAGGTACAGTAAAAATACTCATGTGTTTATGATCATGCATTACACCAGGACCTTACAATGTCTGACATCACTAGGCAGTAGGAATTTCAGCTCCATTATAATCTGGGACCACCTTTATATATGTGGTCTGTCATTGACTAAAACGTCATTATACTGCACATGACTGGGGATCTTTTTAACTTGCTGAGTTCCTCCTTTGTATTGGCTATATATAAAGTTTTATTGATCACATCCCAGGATTTCAGGAGCATTTGCAGTGGGCTGTTCCTGTTGGGAGGCTTCGTTGCCGTGGTACAGACGAGCCTAGGCGATTCCAGGGACTGACTCTTGTTTCCGTCTCAGGAGCTGCTTGTTTTTTTTTGTTGTTGTTGTTTGTTTGTTTGTTTTTATAAATTTTTTATTTATTTTTTTGTTACAGATATTTTACCTTTTTTACCCCATTGGCACCCCCCCCACCCCACCCCACCTCCGCCCTGTCCCCGGCTTAGTTGTCCATGTCCATTGGTCATGCATACATGCATATAAGTTCTGTGGTTCATCTCCCCCCCCCCACACACACACACCCACCCCCTCTTCTGAGGGATGTCAGTCTGTGCCCTACTTCCATGTTTCTGGGTCTACTGTATTCCTCAGACTGTTCTGTTCATTATATTCCGTATATAAGTGAGATCATGTGGTCTTTGTCTTTTTCTGCTTGGCTTCTTTCACTTAGGATAGTACTTTCCAGGTCCCCAGGAGCTGCTTGTTATCTCTGCTTTAATGGACCTCATCACCATCCGGCTACCTTGTTCTGTTCCTTTCTTCCCCATGGCAATGTGACCTCTCCAGCCTTTGTTCCCCTCCCGCATCTTTCAGCCTTCTCACAGTCATGTATTAGTCACATCCTCGAATGGAATCTCTGGCTCACTCAGTCTTGTGCCGTGCCATGCTCTTGGGTCAGATGCTCCTCCAGGTCTCCGAGGAGGGGAGTGAAAATCTCAAATCCCAGGGCAAAGTAGACTTTTTAATAAGTGGTTCTGAGTCAACTGGGATATGCAAGAATGAACTCCAAATGGATCCAGGGTCTAAATGTTTAGAAACATGAAACCATACAAATACTAAAAGAAAACATGGGTAAATATCCAGAGCCAATAAAAGGTTGACACATTTGACTACATAAAAATAAAAATGTTTGTCAAGAAGAATATTTGCGGCATATATCATAGACAAAGGGTTAGTATTCCTGTGCTCAAACTCACCCATGATTAGAGAAATGAAAATTGAAGCAATACTGAGATAACATCACCTCTCAGACTGGTGGAAACCGAAAAGTACAACAGCCCTTGTGCCAGGCAGGGCTATCGGGAAATGGGCATTCTCATACAGAGCCTGTGGGAATGCAAGATGGCATAGCCCTTCCTGAGGGGAATTAGTACCTAACAAAACTTCCAAAGAGCTTACCCTTTGACCCAACCATTCCAGTACTGGGAATTTCCTCTGAAGGTACACCTCCAACAAGACAAAAATACACGTGCACGAGACTACTTATTGCCGCATTGTGATGGAGAATATTGGAAACAAGGTAAATGTCCATATGTAAGGGAGTGACTGAATAAACCATGGCATAGCCACATGGAGTACTATTTAGCTGTAAAAAAGAATAAAGAAGATCTCTGAAGCAATGCAAAGTTATTTCCAGGATGTATTGTTAAGTACAAAAGTTTGCAAAGTGCAAAAACGTGCTACTTTTCATGTAAGAAAGGAGGGCAGAGAAAATGTACATGTATCTGCTCATTTGTACAAAGTAAGGAAAAATGAGCCAGAAACTAGTGAGATTAGTTATTTGCAGAGGGAGGAAGGAATATAGTGGAAAGAAGGAGAAATGATAACAGGGTCTAAAGGATGAAGGGGTGGGACACTTCTGAGTATATCTTTTTTTTTTATCCTCACCCGAGGACATTTTTTGTTCAGATAGAGTGGGAAGGAGAAAGAGGAAGAGAGAGAGAGAGAAACATCGATGTGAAAGGGACACATCGAGTGGCTGCCACCCGCACGACCCAACCAGGGCTGGGGGCAAACTGCAACCGAGGTATGTGCCCTTAGCAGGAACCAAACCCGGGTCTCTCTGGACCACAGGCCGATGCTCTAACCACTGAGCAAAACTGGCCAGGGCTGAGTATATCTTTTTGTATAACTGACTCTTAGACCCATAATAATGTCCCTCATATTCAAAATATAATTAAAATCAACCAGGAGATGAAGGGAATTCAATATGGAGTGCAGCCCTGGCCGGTTTGGCTCAATGGCTAGAGTGTCGGCCTGTGGACCAGAGGGTCCCAGGTTCGGTTTCTGCTAAGGGCACGTACCTTGGTTGCAGTTTGCCCCTGGCCCCAGTTGGGTTCATGTGGGTGGCAACCACTTGATGTGTGTCTCTCACATCGATGTTTCTCTCTCACTCTTCCTCCCTCTCTCCCGCTCTATCTGAAGATAAATGCAAAAATGTCCTCGAGTGAGAATAAAAAAATTATATATATAAAATTATATATATAACAGTAACAAAAAAACTAACTGTATTTCAGATGAGTAATACAACCATACTGAAGGTGGAGAAAAAAATAACTAAAGTTATAATATATTGATGGGATAGTATGAAGCTAAAGACAAAAGAACTGCACACAAATACAGTGATACCTCGGTTCTCGAACATAATTCGTTCCAGGAGGACGGTTGAGAACCGAATTGTTCGAGAACCGAAGCAATGAAACCAATAGGAAAGCGTGACTCCACAAAGCGTGACTCTCTCTCTGCGCTCACACTGATGACGCAAGCAAGGTGCGCTGGGCCGAATGAACGCCATTCGGCTCAACTCGGCTCATCTCGGAAGTTCGAGTTCCAAATATTTGTTCGGATTCCGAGACAAAAGTTTCTCGAATCTCCATTTGGTCGAAAACCGAGGCGTTCGAGAACCGAGGTATCACTGGTACACTGCTTTTGGTAGTGTATCTAAGAAGTTTTTGCCTAACCCAAGGTCACACAATTTTTCTACTGTGTTTTCTTCTAAAAGTTTTAGAGTTCTAGGTTTTAAATTTAGGTCTCAGGTCCATTTTGCATTGATTTTTTTTTTTCTTTTTTTGGTATATGACATAAAGTACGGTTCTGATTTTTTTCATATGCATATCAAACTTTTGCAGGACCATTTTTTGAAGAGGTGATCCTTTCTCCACTACTTTGCCTCTGTACCTTTGTCAAAAATCAGTTGCCCACATATGGGCAGAGTTTATTTCTGGATTCTCTATGCTGGTCCATTGATCTATTTGTCTGTCTAGGCACCAATACCAGGCAGTTTTGATTAGAGTCAGACAGTGTTAGCCCTTCAACTTTGTTCTTTTGTCCTAAGGTGTTTTGGCTATTCTAGGGTCTTTGTATTTCCACATGAATTTTAAAATCAGCTAGTCAATTTATTTTTTTTTTTAAAAAGCCTGCAGAATTTGGTAAAAAGTGACCTCTTGACCATAATGAGTCTC